ACCCCAGCCGGCGCGCGGTCGCCGCAGCCGCTCGGCGGCCCTGGCGGGCCAGCGCAGGGGCTTGGCGCCCCCGGCGCCGCCGGCGGCCCCGGCGGCGGCGCCGGCGGCGGCGGCCCACCAAACGAGGGCTGGACTGAGCACACCGCCCCGGACGGCCGCAAGTATTACTACAACAGCGTAACCCGGGTGTCGGCCTGGACTAAGCCCGAGGCGATGATGACGCCCGAGGTGCGGCTCGAAGCGATCCGGTTGGATCCCGCGCGGTTTGATATGCGATCTCACGCGTGGCGCAGGGCGCCGCGCCGCGAGGCCCGGAGCAGCGGTGCGCCTGGCGGCTGCAAGAAGCTGCTCGGCCCGCAGGGGCTGGCATGTCTGACACTGTCCCCTCGCGCTGCGACCGCAGAGCTCACATCCTCGTTTCCTGCACCGCCCGCGGTCCCGACTCCCCGCAGGAGCGCGCGCGCGCCGCGGCGCTGAAAATCGCCCAGGCTGTCACTGCCGCCGCGCCCGCGGCGGCCGCCGCCGCCGCCGCGGCGGCGACACCGCAGCAGCAGCAGCAGCAGCGTGCGCCCGCAGCGGCCGCGGCGGCGGCCGCGCCGGACGCGGCGGTGCTGGCGGCGGCGGCGGCGTGGAAAGAGCACACGGCGCCCGATGGGCGCAAGTACTATCATAACCGCCTTACTAAGGAGAGCCGCTGGACCATGCCAGAGGAAATGAAGGCGGCACAGGCGGCGGCGCGGGGTGAGGGCCGGGGCGATGCGCGCGCGTGCGCGCGCGCGCTCGTGTGTACGTGTGTGTGTGTGCGTGTAAGTCAGGGGGTGTTGTGTGTTGTGGCGACTCGTGATGTCTCAAGCTGTGATGCTTGCCGGATGCGGGTCCCAGCACAAGCGGTTTTTACGCTCTGCTGTGTGTGGCGCTCCCAGTCTCAGTTTACGGGCCGCGCTCCGTGCCACCTGCAGCGGGCGCCACGCGCCCCCGATCCCGCTCCATCTGGGACATTGCCACCCGCCAACCCGCGCCGCCGCCCCGTACCCCGCGCCGACCGCCCCCGACCCACAGCCCCCCAGGCGGCGCCGCTGGCGGCCGACGGGCCCGCGGGGCGCTCTCCCCTGCAGCCGTCGCCCGGGGCCGCGCCCGCAGCCGCCGCCGGCTCGCCGGTCGCGGCGGCCGCCGCGCAGCAGCCGCGGCCGACGCCGGTCTATGCCACCAAGGTAAGTGCGCCCAGCCTGCCGCCCTCTCCTCCCCCCTGCTTGGCCAGCTGGCCGGCTTTGCCCTGACCCCTCATAGGCAGGAGCGCCGCCCGAGCGCCCTCTCTTGCGGGCTTCCTACAAGCGCGTTACGGCCAGCGTCTCGTGGGAATTGCACCTCCTATGGCGTATGCACGGATGCTTCACCCGCACACATGCATGCACACGTGCGCCCCCCCCCCACACACACACATACACACTTACATACATACACACATATACACACACGCACGCACACACATACACACACACACACACCTGCATTCACACAGATATGCACGCATGCATACACACATCCATTGCAACCGTCCCGTTCACATCTACCCACCCACCCGCCGCCCCCAGGAGGAGGCGCGTGACGCGTTCAAGGAGCTGCTGGCTGAGGCCGGGATTGGCGGGGAGGACACCTGGGACGGGGCACTCAGGTTGGTGTATGTGCGTGCGTGTGTGTGTGTGTGTGTGTGTGTGTGTGTGTGTGTGTGTGTGGGCATGTATGCGTGTGGCTGTGCGCGCGCGCCTGAGTGAGGGTGAGCGTGCTTGAGTGTGTGTGTGTGTGTGTGTGTGTGTGTGTGTGTGTGTGTGTGTGTGCGTGCGTGCGTGCGTGCGTGCGTGCGTGTGAGATGTCCAGGGTGTATCTGTGTTAGTGTGTGTATGTTTGTGTGTGCCTCGATAATGTGTGACTTTGTGTCGTGGATAAGCCGGGGGCGTGCTCGAACACGTTGACCAGGGGAGAGAGCGCCTGCTGCCGGCATCCCGCACACGCGTCGCCGGCGGACGCAGTTTTCTCATGCACGTCACCACCCCCCCCCCACCACTACCTTGATC